AGTGTATTATTTGTTGAAACTGTACTTTCGATTTGATTTGAAACTGTCTCATTGCTATATGTTTATCAATAAAACTTTGAAAAGAAAAGAAAAAAAAAAGAAAGAAATGTGGGTTATCTTGCAGGTGAATGAAAAAATCAACAACCAACACACAATACTAAAGCTTCATATATTTAAATCAAATTGAAAAAAGAACATCTATACCTATCCACATCAACTAAAACACACACACACACACACACACACACACACACACACACAATCACAGTCAACCAAAGAGTTTGCTAACACTTCATTAAAACAATGCAAGCCTGTATTGTATTTGGTTGAACACAAAGTTAATGAAACAGACAGAAATTTACTAATATTTAGGTTCTAAATAAAATTTGTAACAGTCAAATCTAAATACCCAGAATTTCAAACAATTTACACTTTAATTACAATGAAATCCACTGTTTTGTTTTGGCTTTGCTTCACTTTTTTGTTTTCTCAGAGTATCAGATGATTTCACTACAAGAAATAGCACAAGAGTGAGGAGCTGCCAAATGTAATATTTTATCAAGATTCTGAACAATGTATAGATTTTCTCAAAAGAATATACAATATTAAAGGTTAATACTTAAAGACAGGGGGCCTGGCCATAGCTCAGTTCTTTAAGTGGCTGCTTCCACAAAGCTGTGAGCCTCAGGTAGCTGTAGTTCGACTCCCACAACACTCCAGCCAGACAAACCATGCCTGAGGGCATTCAGAGCAAAAAAAAAAAAACCCTAATACTTAAAGACATAACGCTTCTAGGCATTTTGTCTTGAAACCGAGTTAATTACATAAAAATTATTAAATAAATGCTGCTGTATTCCTTAGTATAGAAACTGATTTTTTTGTGGATGTGGTCTTTTAGAGACAAGGTCTCACTATGTAGTTCAGGCTGACTTTGAACCTGCTTTGTAGCTCTGTCTGGCCTCAAACTCCCAGCAATCCACCTGTCTCAGCCTCCCAACTTCTGCATTTTTTTTTTTTTTTAACCAGGGATTGAATTTGCCAGGCAGGCGCTCATGCCACTGAGCTATATGCCCAGCTCAAGTTCTGTGATTCCAGGTATGCATGGATTGTATTTGTTTAGAGTGAAGATCACAAACTGCCAGATTTTTTTAAATGCCTCTCAGAAATATACTTGAAGAATGAATTTCATGACAAACAAGAAATTGTTTATGAGTTCATGGGGATAAGAAGTGAAGAAGGGGCTGGTGAGATGGCTCAGTGGTCTAAAGCACCTACTTAGAACAAGCTTAGCAAAGCACAGAGACCACGGTTCAATCCCCCAGCACCACATGCCAGCCAGCCCCGCCCCCTGGTGGGCTGAGCTGGCCACACACACACACACACACACACACACACACACACACACAAATAAATAAAAATTAAAAAAAAAAAAAAGAAGTGAAGGACAGATCTTTTTTTTTTTTTTTTTGTACCAGGTATCAAACTACCTTATGCGCTGAGCTGTTTCCCTAGCCTAAGGAAGATATATCTTGCCCAAAATATCTTACAAACAAGATTAAAGTGCAAGCATAAAATAATTTCCTCCTGTATAATCACCTCTTCTATATGTTTCTACACCATAAAATTAAATTTAAAAAAAGTTTCTAAACCTACATTTAAAATATAACTGTTTTATGTAAAGATACAGAATTTTATTACAAGCTATTTCTATGTCTGTTTTAAAATATACTACTATAAAATTCCATGTATTATTTGTATATTCATAAGAAATTGCTCTAAGTCAATATAATCTACTATATTATGTCACTTGAAGTCATCATAAATCTTTTTTTCATAATTCTTTTTTTAACTTTTACTTATTTATTCATTAGGTACAGGGTCCTGCTATGCAGCTTAGACTTGTAATGATCCTCCTGTCTCAGCCTCCCCAGAGTTGGGATAACAGACAGGTGCCACCTTGGCACGGCGCACCCAGGGTTCTAAGGCCAGCATGGCATATTGCACCAAGGATTGAACCTGAGTCCTTACACTTGCCAGGCAGGCACTAAGACCACCAAGCTACCTCCCGAGCCCATCATCTTTGAACAATTCCCCCAAATATGTAAGGTCTTGTTGGTTGCTCCTATGTACAAGCCTCTGGCTTTAAAAACAAATTTACCAGCCAGGCATCATGGCACACACGTATAATCCCAGCACTCAGCCAGCTCAGGCAGGACTACCATGAGCTCAAGGCTAGCCTGTGCTACATAGTAAGTTCAAGGTCAGCTTGAACAGTATAGCGAGACGCTATCTCAAGAAACCAAATTAATTCATTATTTACTGTACTGGCCTGGCAGGATGATGTTACCTATAATTCCAGCACTCTGAGAGGCTGAGGCAGGAGGATCACAAGTTTGGGCAACTGAGACCCTGTCTGAAAAAATTTTAAAAGGACTGGGAATATAGTCTAGTAAGAAGGCCTTGTTATAATCTACTGTAAATAAATACATATATAAGCAAAAAGAAACCCCAAATCTTACGAATTTTATACTATGGTGTTATAAAAATATAGTATTATGAACTATATAGTAAAGAGTTATAAAATAATTTATGAGAAAAATGTCTATGGGAGGCTGAGGCAGGAGGATCACTGTGAGTTCAAAGCCAGCCTGGCTACATGTAAGTTCAAGATCAACCTGAATTACACAAAGACTCTGTCTCAGAAGAAAGAGGGGGGAAAAGGAGGAGAGAGGGGAGGAAAAGAGGAGAAGAGGGGAGGGAAGGAGAATCCAGATAAAGATATAAAACTTTATGTTTAGCTTTAATGCCTTAATAATGTTTGAAATAACAGGTTTAACATAATATTAATCATTTCTTTTTTTTTTTTTCCATTCAAGAGAATTAAATCGTTTATTGATTACACATGATAATGGATGATACACAGCTTCAATCCCATCTATCATTGTATCTGGTACCATTATTCAATTTAGATATATAGGATGTGCCAACAATCATTTTTACAACCAAGTAGCTGACTGTTTGCTTGGGTGACCTTTTCAATGGTCAAATTCAGAGGTCACAACAGTAACTGTCAGTTCAACT